TAAACCTTAGTAAAGGCCGATTATGTTTTCTTCTACTATTATTGCGAGGAAATTCTAAAAAAAAAATAAAGTTCATAACTCGAGAGCCAGCTTGATATGTCGACGACTATCCTCACTTGCCACCATTGATGATGACGTACATCGGCGATTTGTTGTCTCTTTAGGTAATTATTTGTGAACTACCTATCCGTACATTCACCACTTCTGCACATTTTCTCTCGCTCTATTCAGCTGATATTAATTACTTGCATATTATCTGATGAATTTAATTCACAAAATAATGAAGGCAAGACTATTTTGTGTATTGTTGAAAAGTGTTATTCTTTACTTTCCTGATATAACCGCCTCAGGAGTATACCTCCCATACGCCAGACAGGCCTCGACCTAGCGATCTCCAACTAACTCGCTTTGTAGACGCATGGTTTGATGCGCTACATTTTGGTCGCTTTTCATCCGTGGGTTAATTATTCATTACTAAATGGATTAATTGAACAATACTTATAGTCAATTACTATTAGTTAATGACATCATCCATTTAATTTTAAGGCGTCCACAAATATTTTAGGTTATAGAACTCTAAAACTTATATTTCTGTTTGCTTCATTGCTTGCTTACCAAAAAGGGTATTTTTTTTTACTAGGTGGTTGTACATAAATGACGTCACACATCTAAGGACGGGAGGAGGGTTCCAGAAAGTGGGAGGACATTAATGTTTGAAATTTTTTTTTTGATGTTACCTCACGTTGGTAAATAAAAAAAAATAATAATAAAAAAAAGACCCGCTTAACGTTAGCTAAGCTCAGTTAGTATTTTAGAAAAATGTTTTGAGAGGGGTGTTAGGCAGAGGTTTGTGACATTTTAGGTTGTGTGTCTTGGCTTTTTGTGACGAGGTGTGACGCTAGAGGAGGGGGTGGGTAGGATCTTTAAAAAATATGACGTCGCTTAAGACACGGATGACCTTAGTATAGGTATACCGTGCTTTAATTAAACGTTGTATGTTTAAAAAAAAATACTTATCTATAAAACGAGAGCTGTCGTTATAATTTCACATTTTACACTCAAGATACGCGTTTTATGTTTGTTTTGAAATGTAAATTCAATTTGTGAACATCCACATGGACCCGAGACACCCACCATACGCCATACGCGTCAACAAAAGTCGAATTTTTCGGAACCTCCTCCCCCCCCCCCCACCTAAACCCCTTTACCTCCTTTTTATATTGATTACCCTATTGTCCCATCTGACTAATTGAAAAGGCGATATTGGGTCCATATTCGACTTTTAAAAATAAAGTTATTGCCCTTTCCCCAAAAAAGCTTATTTACTGGTGAATGATCTTATGTACTGGTACCTGGTAAATTTTGAGGCCTTTGCCAGTTTTCTCAAAAATTATGATAATTTGATAATTTCTGTCTTATCTTTTAAAGCAGTAATTCTAAATAGTTTTCGCCTCTACGATCTCATGTTTATGCTTTCGATTAAGTTTGCGTTTATGTTTAAGTATGCGTTTACATTAGTGTTCGCGTTTGCGTTTTTGAGTGGGTTTTTTTTTCACAAATTTCTATTTTTCTATAACCGGATTCCACGGACTCACTCCTTCTTTACTGATCTTACTAGACTGTAGGCTGACTGAACTGTAATGAATATATTTACATTTGTTTTCAACACACAAGAATGGATTTCAACGAGTCGACTCAAAAGTGTACAGCCACATTTCATACTGCCTGCATGGTGAGTGCTGCAATCTTGCAGAACCAATCGATGCCACGGTTCTATTGCCATTATGACACAATTCAGGTCAATTGTGGCTTTAAATGAAACATGTTTTTCTGATCCAGCTTTTTATTTTACAAAAAGGAGCATGTTATTTGTAACATGTATATGTTAAATAATAACAAAAGGGGGATGATACGTTGTGTCTTGTTTTTTATTGTTACATCCCTTGTGTTATATATATAAGTTTATCTAATATATAAAGCTCAATTCTGTAACGCATATGTTTGTCGTTGGCATTTCTACGGATTTAAGTGTTAGATCAATTATCGTGCGCGTTTGTCTAAATTTATGAGTTGAAAAATTACTATTAAAAGTGTTGGGAAATCATTTTCATTTTTCAAATTATAGTAATAATTGTCGGCATGTTCATTCAACACAAGTTTTAAAAAAATATCATCTTTTACAAAAATTCTAATTATGTTTTTATTTAGTCCTATAGCGCTTACTTCCCTTTGATAAATTAGGCAAAACACAATTACTTCCCTTTATAAAACCATAGCATTAGTTGAAAAGCATTTACTTTTTAATTACTTTGTTTTGGTGTTGGGAAAAAAATAATTACATAATTAGCGGGGATTGATCAAGTGCAAATGTTTTAGGTATTTTACGGATAAGCTTGGAGTATTATAATTGTTCATTAAATTGAAACAGGCGCGTTCGTTTAAGTGAGTGCAAAAACTATGAATAAGTTGGGGTACTATAGTCGTTTATTAAGCTAAAACAGGCGATTCTGCCCCGGGCGTTTATGTTCGCGTTAGTGTTTTCTTTGTGTTTAGGTGGGTTTGCGTTAGTGGTTGCGTTTTGATTTGGTTCGTTTTTGTTCTTTCTTTTTTCGTTTTTGTTTGTGTTTTTTTTTGTTTGGGTTTGTATTTGTGTTTTTGGTTGGTTTTGCGTTTGAATTTGGTTTGTTTTCGTTCTTTCTTTTTTCGTTTTTGTTTGTGTTTTTTTGTTTGGGTTTGTATTTGTGTTTTTGGTTGGTTTTGCGTTTGGATTTGGTTTGTTTTCGTTTGCTTTTTCGTTTTTTTTTTTTTTTTTTTTTTTTTGGTATTGGTGTTTGTGGTTGGGTTTGTTGTTAGGTTTTTGTTTTCGTTTGCTTTTTTGTTTGTTTTTTCTTTGTGTTTGTATTGGTGTTTGTGGTTGTGGTTGGGTTTGTTGTTAGGTTTTTGTTTTCGTTTGTATTTGTAATTGTGTTAGCGTTATGTTTGCGTTTTGTTGTTTTGGTTGGTTGTGGTTTGGGTGGGCAATGCCGGGTTTATGATGATTACTAAACACACAGGTAATGGTCGTTAACAGAAAGGTTTTTCACAGAAGCCAGAGCAGGGCCTGGCCGGGACGGCTAGTATATATATATATATATATATATATATATATATATATATATATATATATATATATATATATATATATATATATATATATATATATATATATATATATATATATATATGTCATAGTAATGTCCCTTGTGTTTACGTTCAGTCAGATACTATGAGAGAGTACTGACTGTCGGAGATGAACGGAGACTAATCTCAACATGTCCAGTAAAGTGTTAGTGTAAACTGATCTAAATACAACTAATCTAAGTTACGTAACACTTGGGACAGATAACACATGTGAAAAGCAAGCACTTTATTTACATACGTAAACGGCGAATATTTTACAGCTCCAGCATGCAGATTAAAAACTAGGATTTTAAAAAAGTTTAAACTATTGTCAAAGCTAACATGAGTTTAAAAAAAAAAAGCCAGTGTTAATACTTACAAAAATTAGTAACCTGCAATGGGGTACATGAAAATATAGAAGTTCATCTGTTTCTGTTATATCGGCATATAAAATGCATTGTGTGTTCATGATTTGGGTACCGATTAGTGTTATGTGGACTCTGGGGCGACGATATTATATTAAGTTATATATTTTCAAGAACATAATGAATATTTGTCTATGTTGGGAATAAATGAGTACAGAATTATCTATGGCATAACGATGCTTCTATTTTATAAACATGAAAAAAAAAACACATACTATGAAAGAATGTGAGACCTCTCTTTTTATTGTTTTTGACTGTTTTACCGGGGTCGGTGTGGGCGAGTCGGTAAAGCTCATGGTTGCTAAACCGAAAAGTCTCGAGTTCGAACCCTCGGGCAGATGAGGCTCGTTAGCTGGGGACAGCCACTCTTCTAGGAGAGACAACTCCAAAATTAAACAACTGCTGCCTTGTAGTTTGTTCTTGGTTGGACAAAGGCTACGGAAGCAAATCCAAAAAGAAAAGCAGGCTGAAATCGGAGTCAATGGCCTCAATGGCGCATAACCAGTTGACACGTAACGCTTAATTGTGATGGAGGCGTGGTCGAGTCGGCAAAAAGCTCATGGTTGATAAATTCGAACAAAGTCTTGAGTTCAAACCATTGGCAGATAAATCTCGATCCCCTTCAACACTAATAATTAAGAACGAAGAAGAAGAAAGACTGTTTTACCTTTAATGTCCCTTGAAGCTATATTAAAAGGATGTCACGTCATTAAAAAGGTGGGTTTTGTTTTGGGGGTGTTTACTTTGCACATTGTTCACCAAGAATAATATTAAAAAAATAACAAATACACACACTTGGGTTATAGAGGACGGTTTTATGATTTGTCTTGATTACAAATCTAGCAACGTAAACACGTCTTAGCCCACTATAGCACTTTGTAGATTTAGTGGAAGTTTTTCAATTAAAAAAAACACTTTTCAGGGGACTGAAATCAATTTAAAATAATTTCGTGTTACATTATGCTTAAAAAGATTATTCACCAAAATTATACTAGAATATATCACGATAGATAAGCTATTTACAAATAAAATTATAACACATTTTCTATGGACACATGTAAATAAGCATGGAAATATAAACAATACTATTAAATAAAATGTTAATGAAAAAAATACACAAATTTGATAATTTTGATTTGGCAGTTTTCATACGTTTTCTGTCTGGCTTAAACACATGACATACACACATGTATACACACAAACACACACACACACTCACACACACACACACACATATATATATATATATATATATATTTATATATATATATATATATATGTATATATGTGTATATATATATGTATATATATATATATATATATATATATATATATATATATATATATATATATATATATATATATATATATATATATATATATATATACACAATTTTATTTATATCCATATTTTCCTATTTAAAACCATATGTGTATACACACATATGTAACATTTATGCTCTTAATCTCTTAATATTATATTTAGTACATATGCATTGACTGAAAGACAAGCACACACACACATTTATTTATATTAATTCACTTATCAGGTGATATTTATCATCTCCACGACCATCCTCAACCCAGTAATGAATTGAGCATAATGTGCAGCAACGATCAGGACAAAATAAATGCCAGGTTTCTCATGTCCCCTGGGCTGGTTTGCTTTAGTATTCATCAGGATCAACGCCACTAACCAGAATGTGGCTGGAACACAATAAATCATTTTGATATTATGATGATATTTTAGTGGTATTTTTGCTGTATGGTGGTGGCATTTTATGCCATATAACTTTATAAATTATCGTCACAATACACTTCACCATAATATTCGAGATCTTTTCTAGGTACCATCTTCTATCACGAAATTATTGTAAAAGTATCTAAAAAATGCATAAAAAGCGATCTAATTGCAAGTATGCACTGAAACAGGAGAAAATAAATGAATTTCGTTAATTAAATATGAAATGGAAATGAGCTAATTTTTAAATGACTGATAAAATGCATACATTTTTTTAAATATCAAGCTTTAATGTAATAAATAAGCTAAAATGAGAAAATAAATGATTTTTAAAAAATGGGACTATATAATAATAAACAACTAGTTTAGTAACTAAAATAAAAAGCGTTGAACACTATATTAAAGGCTATATTTCAAGGCTTTTATTTAGCTTGCTGAATAGGTTTGCGGGTGTGTGTATGGCGCCGCAAATTTTGAATCTAAATTTAATCCCGATTGAGCTGAAATTTAGCACAATGTTAGATCGTGGATGGTCATACATGTATATATAATTTTGGTCTAATTAGTCCACGAAATTTAGGCACATAAACTCTGTTTAATTTTTACTTTTTGGTATTTAATTTTCATTTGTGGTTTTGTGTGTGTGATTGTGAATATAATAAAAGCTTTTTGTCATAATTTTATTTTTAATTTCACAAACAGTTATTTAGCTTCCTTTCTCTGTCACGTGTGTATGTCATCATATATCGAAACTGCTGAGCAAAATTTTGAGTATTTCTAACTTGGCAAGTGGGTCAAAACACGATGACAATGCAGTCTGACATCAAATTTGACTAAATCGGATGACTAATTAGTTTTTTTTAATGAATAAAAAAATTTCCTAGGTTAAGTAAGGGGCTTACTATTTATCGTATTATTATACGCGCATTTTCATGATGGGTTTTTAGTCAGGCAACTCTATTGCATTAAACATTTTAAAGTAGGGACGCACTGAAAAAATGGATAAAACGTTTTAATAACGTTTTTAATAACGCTTTATGTAATAATACACTAAAAGGATAAAGTGAGTGAATTTCCTTCAATATATAATAATACACTACTATTTAAATAACTACAATGAAAAGCGTGGGTCTCTTTCCTAAATATAAGTAAATATATACAATAGAGCATATGGTTCGAACTAGGGACATTTCGGTTCAGCAACCATGTGCTTAATCGATCCAACCACGCCGACCTCCACATAGAAAAATAAAAAAGGCTTATTAATTGTTTCTAGAGCCTGAATCCTTTAAAGGTACAATACTCTAATCAAGCGGGTAGATTTGATTGAATTTAAACAGATAAAATTATCAAGCCTAGTAATAAAATCCTAGTATGGAGATTTAAAAAGTAAACTACCCAGAAGTTAACAAAATACTTATAAAGTTTACACAGATAAATCTTACATGTAACTATACAGATACATGCAGCGATCATTGCAGTGACTTTGCTTCCTCTAGACCTGCAGGTAAAGATTTGCAGGTAGATAACTCCATAAGCGATGGTGTTGCCCAGAACAATTAATAATTTCATGCCACTGTTGTTGATGGAAGCTAAATGAGAGCAGAATGACAGGTAAGATGAGGCACAAAGTAAAAACATAAGATATTATAATAATCAGGACAGTTTCTGACTGTGTAGATTTGGGGTTTAAAAAGGAAAAAAATGCACTGTATTGACTTTGGAGGAGATATACTTCATGTTGCATGCAAACTGTTTGGTGTGGCATTCTGATCTCTGGGAAGTAAGAGTACAGACACAGACACTTACAGACACGATGACCGCTAAAGGCTTGATGTATTGATCCTTACATACATGATGTACTGGCGCTTACATACATGATGTACTGATGCTTATAGACATGGCGTAAAGACCCATATAGTGATAATGGACAGACCCATAAAAGTGTGATGTACTAACACATGATGTCCTGACTAAAGATAATATGTACTGACGCTTAAAAACATGAAGTACTCACTCATACACATATGTTATGAACCATACAGACATGATGTACGAACCCAAAAGGCGTGATGAACTGACCCATACATGCATTATGTACTGACTACAGTATGAGGTATTGACCCATGCATGCATTATGTACTGACTACAGTATGAGGTATTGACCCATGCATGCATTATGTACTGACTACAGATATGAGGTACTGACCCATACATGTATTATATACTGACTACAGACATGAGGTACTGACCCTTAAATGCAATATGTACTGACTACAGATATGAGGTACTGACCCTTACATGCATTATATACTGACTACAGATATGAGGTACTGACCCTTACATGCATTATGTACTGACTACATATATGAGGCACTGACCCTTACATGCATTATGTACTGACCACAGATATGAGGCACTGACCCTTACATCTATGTTGTACTGACTACAGATATGAGGCACTGACCCTTACATGCATGATGTATTGATCCATTATAAGGAATTAAACCTGCCTTCTAGATTTTATTCCCTGAAGTTTGGATGGAGCTCTCCTTCACATCAAGACATAAGTGATAAACATTCAAATTTTCTGACTGCTAGTTACCTAGCATACCGATGTCCAAGATAGTTACGTACTTACTTTGTTTATAGAAAAAGTTGATCGATCTACTGTGAAAGTTATAGAATTCGCTGTCAATTATGAAGAAGTACCAGCTGTACCAAAGTAAAATATAATTTATGATTAGTGGTTACACATAAAGTTAAACTTTATTGATGAAAGTTAAACGAAATGGTTCCATTTCAAACTAGGCGTTCCATAGGAAAGATAAAAAAGAATTCATAGGGTGATTTGCCCTAACGTGAGTCAGGTACATATAAGAGCTGTGTGCACTTAAAGGTGTCCTGCAGATTTAAGTCTGAGATACGAACTCGAAACTTCCGGGTTAAATGTCGTGCGCTCTACCACGCGACCACGCCGTCCAAAGAATGATAAGGAAATTATAGAATACAACCACTTAAGCTGCTTAGTGTCTTTACCTTTACTAGTTCTAATTAAAGTGAATTAATGTAGTTTTAAGAGGGTAATTAGCAGTTGATAATAAGAAAACAATGAACATCTGTGTATAAGTGTATTTGAGTGTGTGGTGTGCGCGAGTGTGAGGTTTTAAACAATCATTTTCCATAAAAAGTTATCAAACCTGCGGCAACTTACTTAATGATTCCAGATGCAAGAAAAAAGACGAAGCTGAGTTTGGCAATCTTTGTAGGGTTTTTACTACCAGATTGAACAGGCTCAGTGATGGTAACTACTTCTTCGTGTGGCGATTTGAAATCAGTTGTGGGCGTCATGTTTGTAGCAAGGACATGTGACGTCAGTTTTAGGTCTGGGTGCTGCTCCTGGTTCTAGAGCATTGGAGACTATTTTAGACAAAAAAACTCTCTAAACTACTGGTTTATCGCAATCAAAAATTAGAAAACGTTTCTCAAATACAAAACTGCTTATATTTGGCAACTAGTAGAGTATTTTTAATAAGATCAGTCCACTAATAACCCCATATATATGAGTCAACTAATAGGCTACTTATATCGTTAACTAGTAGATTATTTTATTCACTATCCTTTAACAAATAATAGGCCCCTACTTACATCAGTCATTTCTTCACTACATTAGTTTGTATAGTAAAAGTATAGTAAAAAATACACATGTTAGAAAAATAATCTGCTTCGAAGAAACTTTCCGATTCACTCTACTTTGTTTTAATATGTAAACACATCCCAAATCCAACACGGCATCAACCTCACTCTGCAGAAATCGCAGAGACGACAGGTAATGCCTAGATCATTGAGACACAAACAGCACAGTTAAATTTAGTAACACGTAAACAAAATCTCTTCCTTCCTGATCTAGGTCACATTGACTAGCTGTTGAAAACTTGCCGTTTGCCCGAATGTACACTTGCACGAATGAGACAAATGCCAATGGATTTGACGTCGCCACAGCGTCAAGTACGTGTAAGCAATTGGCAAATTATGCCAAAATTAAGGGGCAGTTTATTTTTAATATGGAGACCTCAAAAAAAAAACTTCATTAAAAGCATTTTTTAAATTTAAAAATTGTCCAATAGTTCCTCTGTGATTATTTAAAGAAGCGTTATTAGGCAACTATTTGACTGTTGTAAACGGATATTATTGTCCCGCGCTCTCAAAAAAGGTTTCTTATATCAGTATATGAACTTACAGCTATGTACTGTTATATGGCAAATTTTTAAGAGATTTCCTGTTACCTTAAAAAGTACTTTACGCTATTAGCGATTTCTAAAAAAAAAGCTTTAAGAATTCGATAATTTTTTACATCATACTTTTTAAAGGAGCATATTGTAAGAAATATTCACCTATTTGTGTTTTCACGAAAAACACGAGGTTTTGTCATAAGCTTCTATATTTCTATATCGGCTATTTCTATAGCCCAATTCAACTGGAAAATTAATAGTATTTATTTATTTTTATGAACGTTTTTTAAACATCATAATTGAATGTGATTGTATTTACATAGTCAAAATGTAGCATTACATATATAGACACATTTATTCATATACATGCTCATAATAAACATAATTATGTATTGAAATACATATTTACATTCACACACACACACACACACATATATATATATATATATATATATATATATATATATATATATATATATATATATATATATATATATATATATATATATATATATATATATATATGGGTCTACGACAAATTCCCGAAAGACACTTGCCTTCGGGCAAGTGGCATTCGGGCATTTGTCGCACTCGGGCAAGTGTCCATTCGGGCGTTTTTCGCATTCGGGCAAGTGTCCATTCGGGCGTTTTTCGCATTCGGGCAAGTGTCCTTTCGGGAAATCGGCCTTCGGGCAAACGGCATTCGGGCAAGTGTCTGTCGGGAAAACGTCCGGCTCATATATATATATATATATATATATATATATATATATATATATATATATATATATATATATATATATATATATATATATATATATATATATATATATATATATATATATATATATATATATATATATATATATATATATATATATATATATACATTATATATATATATATATATATATATATATATATATATATATATATATATATATATATATATATATATATATATATATATATATATATATATATACATATATATATATATATATATGTGTGTCTGTGTCTGTGTGAACACGTATTTAATGAGTTGATCAGATCAGGTATGAAGAGTTAAACGTCAATATGAAACCATCAATCATGTGATATCTATCACTTCAATGATCATCAACATCCCCGTAATGAATTGCATTTGTACAGCAATATCCACTTTGTGATCAATGCCAGATAAATCCAGTGTCAGGTATTGCTCTGTATGGGTACACAACACGTTGACAGTTAAAAGCCAGCAAGTGGCTGGAATACATTGAATCGATTAACATTTTGTTTTCTTGAATGTTTAGTGGAGGTACGGTATTTATTTGTTATTAGCCCGGTAAAGGAGAAAACCAATAGTTGTGTTAGTCTATACTAGTTGTTTTTGCAAGTATATTGTTTCCTATTACTTTTAAAACTGTTTATTTGTTAACAAATATAGGGCGAACTATCCTCAGGCACTTCGCGATTACATTAGTGAGTAAAGTAAAATTTTCTGCATACAAACTTTCTAACATACAAATCTGGATGGGACACATCTCTGATTTACTACACTGCTTCTTAATTTGTAAACAGATCATTTATTACACACAGCACAAATTCCACACAGCCCTAATCCCACACATCACAAATCCCAGCGCTAATACAAACTATACAAGTCTCACACTACACAAGTACCACACAACACCAATCCCACACATCACTAATCCAGAGGCGTAGCGACCCATCCCGGCGCCCGGGGACAAACTTTCAATTTGGCGCCCCCCTCGGGAGCCAATTTGCACCCCCCCCCTCAAACTTTCGATTTTCACCCCCTCCCCGTCAAACTGCAAAAATGCAGCTAAAATGACATTTTAATTTGTTTTTACAACCCATTTTGGCGCCACCTAAGGTCGGCGCCCGGGGACATAATACCCCACTGCCCCGCATCGCTACGCCTCTGCACTAACCCCACACAGCGTTAATCCCACTCTATACGAATCAGACACAGCTCGAATCCCACACAGCACAAATCCCACACAGCGCTAATCCCACACAGCACAAATCCTATTCATCACAATTCACTTACTACACGAATCGCAGTTACGTCTTGTAACTGGGACAATAACAACACAGTTAAATATAGTAGCACGTAAACAAATCACAGACCTTCCTGGTCTATGGCTGTCAGCATGCCACCTTATGACACTTTGATCGATTATGTATTGTTTGTTTTTTAATCTAAAACATGAAGGCCCTATACTGATTGGATGACGTCACACTTAACCCGATTTCTTATTTTCCACTTCTACGCTAACACATTCCACACCCCCCCCCCCCCCCCCATTACGCAAGTTTACATTTTTTAAAAAGTTCTCTTTAAAATTCTGCTAAGACAACTCTTTGAATAAAGAATTATTTGCACATTATACATTTTAAATTAAATAGTAATTACAGTATTATTTGTATTCTTAAAGTTGTATTTTAAAACTACAGCTTTACAGTAAAAACAATGGATTGCTTAAATGGAATATTTTTCAATGTGTTTTTGTAAAAAAAAAAAATCTATGGTGACTAAAAAAAATGTAAAAAATAAGTTTGAGAGGGAGGGTAGACAGATATTTGTGTCGTGTTAGATGTTGGGTCATAACTTTTTGTGACGAGTTTTAACGTTGGGGTGTGGTGGAGGTGTAGGAGTTCAAATATTTTAAAATTAAACATATAACGTCGATTATGTCTAGTGGCGTAGCTAGGATTTTCGGGCCCCTATGCAAAAATTATTATTGGGCCCCTACGTCTATCTGCAAATTGTGTATTTATACGGTATTATTATGTAGTACCCCTTAATGTAAAATATCTTTGTTTTTATATAACTTTTATGTAAAAAAACAACAAACAAATTAACTGAAAGCCTTTAACATTTATGTAACCTAACACAGTAGCGTCACAGGGCAGGAGCCTCACAATTTAGGCGTGACACCATGACGAAAACTTGTAAAATTTCCTGTCAAAACTATGTTTTATTCAATTAAAATAATTATATATTAAGGAGAGGGGGTAACACTTCACCAAAAATGCAAAATTGTTGGACGTGGTGTGGGTGACATTCACTAAACGCACCGGGTGATATCGAACCTTGTGACGCCACTAACAAACTACACATTTTAAAGAAATTGCTCATGGTTTTTTAGATTTGTTTTTTTTCTTTTTTGTAAGTTTTCGAAATGATTAATATGTTCCTTGAAGTCCATTTTAGTTGCTTCTGTATGTTCGATACTTAGGATGGCCATGTTACTGATCCAAATGGCATATCTACAACTTGTTTCATTACATCGTCATAAATGGAGAGACTTGGGGCGACAAACTGTACTACTACCGAGGCGGCTGGAGGACACCCCTTATTTTTTTAGTCATTGATTATAGTAGCCCTCCGAATCCCTAGGGCATGGCGCTGGTTAAAACAAGTGTATGCGCCGCAGTGCTCATGGGGGGGGGGGGGGCACCGGCTGATGCTCCTGTGCAGCTTGACAGTTGAATTCGGCAGCAACCCTGACAATGCAACAATGCATGTAGTGTTATTAATATAGATGGGCCCTGTACAACCCCTCACCAGTATGTAAGTTTTAGGGGCCTTTTTTGGAACTTTTGATTACTTTTACAGTAGAAAAGAAACTGTATTTCCGTTTTCTTTTTAAAATTATTTTTATAATACAAATATTAAAACTCCAATGTAAAAGTTTTTAAAAATTTAAAGAGGGAAAAGGGCCCCTATTTGGATCGGGCCCCTCTGCCTTGCTTACGCTAGCTTTACAGTAGCTACGCCACTGATTATGACATAGATGACCCTAGTGTTGGTATAAATTATCGTGCGTTATTTACACGTTGGTATGGGTTTTTTTGTTGTTGTTTTTTTTTAACACGAGAACTTTCGTCTTAATTTTACTTTTACGTGCAGGATACGGGTTCTATGTTTTAAAAAAAAAATGTAAATGTCACATATAAACGTCCACTTGAACCCGAGCACCTCACCATAGACCCATACGTCACACGCGTCAACAAAAGTCGAATTCTTCGGATCCTCCCCCTCTTCCCCCCCCCCCTTTTTACCACCTGGTATATACGTCAAAAATTGATTACTCTACTATCCCAATTGACGAATTAACGGAGCTGTATAGGGCCCATATTCGACATTTAAAAGGTTAAAAAGGATGTTATTCCCCCCCCCCCCCACCCAAAAAAGCTTATATACTGGTAAATGATGTTAAAAACTGGTATCTGGTAAGTTTTGAGACATTCCCTGTAATCGGAAGATGTACTGTACGCCTTTACCGATTTCTGAAAAACCATGATAATTTTATAATTTACGTCATACCTTTTTAAGCAGTATATTCTAAAATACTTATCGCATCTGTTTTCTTTATGTTCATGTTTACGCTTCCGATTTAGTTTGCGTTTGTTAGCGTTTGCATTTAACTTTATGTCTGTGTTTATGTTTGCGGTTATTTTTATTTGTGTGTTTGCATTAATGCCTGCTTCTGCGTTTATGATTGCGTGTTTTTTTTTGTCACAAACTTCTATATTTCTATAGCCCGATTTCACTAAAAGCGCCATCCCAAACTTAACTGATGTTTAGGAATAACGATAACGTTTCGGATGACTCACTTCCGCTTTGCTGAACTTACTAGACTGTAGGCCGACTGAATTGTAATGAATATATTTACATTTGTACTAAGCACACACCAATGGATTTCAACAAGTCGACTCAAATATGAACAGCCCCATTTCAACCAGTGGCGTAGCTAGAATTTTCGGGCCCCTTAGCAAAATGTATCAGTGGGCCCCTTAGTCAGCCTTTAGGCTACAACGGAGTGAAACGAAAAAATCAACTGCTACTTCCAATATATGGTTTTAAATAATACAAATATTCTGTACATTTTGTATTTTATACATTCTGATTGTTTATTTGTACTATATTATTATGCAGGCATTCAACTCCGTTGTTATGTAAAAAGGCTACAGGCTTACAATTAATTTGTTTTTGTTTTTAAAGTAACCAAACACATCAGGGTCGCTAGGTGGGGGCATAGGTGCGGTCCGCATCTGCAGACACTATTTAGGCGTGACATCATGACGAAACATTGTAAAATTTACTATCAAAATAAAAGATAAGTCAGAGAGAGGTAACAGCCCACCGAAAATGCTAAGTTTTTAAGGATGATGGGGGTGACACTTTGTAAGCGCGTAGGGGAACACGCGACCTCGTGACGTCACTAATACAATTTAAAAAAAAATGCTCATGATTTATTTAGATCTGTTTTTTTGGTCCTAGGACCTTTGACCACAGGTGCTTTGACCATAGGGGGTTTGACCATAGGGGGTTTGACCACAGCGGAGCTTTGACCATAGGGGCTTTGACCATAGGGGGTTTGACCACAGCGGGCCTTTGACCATAGCGGTGCTTTGACCATAGGGGGTTTGATCATAGGGGGTTTGACCATAGGGGGTTTGACCACAGGTGTTTTCTCAGCAGAGGGTCTTTGATCACAGGTGGTCTATCAACTGGTGTTTGATCAAAAGCGCTGTGTCCGGCTTTGATCATAGGTGTCTTGTCCACATAGGGTCTTTGATCTCAGGTGTTTTGTCCACATAGGGTCTTTGATCTCAGGTGGTTTGTCCAATGCTGTCCATGTATGGTAAGGATTTATTTTAAAAGTTGCTAAATTATATTTTAAATTTCGACATGACGTAATAATATGGTCAAACAGATGTACTGACATATATGCGTGCTATAGCACATCTGTCATTTAGTTAACCATTTTATGTATTACATCTTTGACTATATTGTTGGCAAGTTTTGCATCATTTTTTATCCTTTATATATGCTATGTATTTTCAAGTACTTCTACATCATTTATTTGTGAAACTTGTTATATGTCGCATTATTTGTGCTTCATTTATATTTAAAATAAATCTATGAGGTCTAGCACCAGCCTTCATGTGGAGACTAAAATTTAGTTCTTGGCTTTTTTTAAATACATGTTAATTTCTATTAACGTACTCACAGGAAACATGTATAAAATCGTGTTAATTGTATCACACCTATGATCAAAGCCGGACACAGCGCTTGTGATCAAACACTCGTTGACAAACCACCTTTGATCAAAGACCCTCTGCTGAGAAAACACCTGTGGTCAAACCTCCTATGGTCAAACCCCCTATGGTCAAAGCACCGCTATGGTCAAAGGTCCGCTGTGGTCAAACCCCCTATGATCAAAGCCCCTATGGTCAAAGCTCCGCTGTGGTCAAACCCCCTATGGTCAAACCCCCTATGGTCAAAGTTCCTGTGGTCAAAGGTCCGCGCACCGTTTTTTTTCATGCTTTTAATTTTACAAAATGATTAATACGTTCCTTGAGTTTTATTTTAGCTGTTTCTGTCTGTTAGATACTTAGGATGGCTAAGTTACTAACCCAATGGGCATATCTACAACTTGTTTCATAACAAAATAACAGCATCATGAACAAATAAGATACATAAATTCAATCATAGTCTTCAAAATCTCTTACCTGATCACAGTCAAATGTTAAAGAATGATTATCTGTAGATAGCAAACCCGTCCGCGTTGCTGCGATCAAGTCCCGCAAACAAGGGTAATGAAACAATTTGTAAGGGTTTCATCAACGCGTTAATAATTATGTATTTTTAGTCGTGTCAACTTATTATCTAAAACTGAGATAGTTAAGTGGTAAACAACGCCGGTGTTTTTTTTTTCGGATCTTTGTTGCTGGGGCGCTGGTTTGTCCACGCTACCGGTCAGACGCCCTTGAGCGTGCTGTATGAAATAATAGAGTGTACGTTAAACGTTCTCTGTAATAGTGAGGTTGAACACCTTTCATCGACCTCCTAAAGGTGTCGCGGGAGTGTTCGAACCCCCGCATACACACACTGAATGCCAATGTATGTACAGTAAGAAAAGACGGGGGGGGGGGGGCTTTTTTGGAACTTATAATTATTTTTACAGAAGAAAAGTAACTGGATTTCCTTTTACATCTTTACATAAAATATATTAAGATTCCAGTTGAAAAGTTTAAGATTTTTTTCAAGTGGGAAAAGGGCCCCTATGTGCCTTGGACCCCTATGCCTTGCTTATGCTAACTTTATGGTAGCAACATCACTGATTTCAACTATGCAAGGCGAGGGCTGCAGACTTGCAGAACCAATCGATGCCACGGTTCTATTGCCATATATGACACCATTCAGGTGCGAATCAGCCCGACACCGCGTCACCAGTCCTAGAGATCGTGATGCCAATTCTGGGAGAACTGCAATTATGGCTATGAGCATGAATCTGGTCGGACCGGAGGGAAAGATCTCCAGACTTCCCAGAAATATTGATTAGAACATTAAACATTTTTTTATAGCTACTCATGTTACTCCAGGCTATTTTGCCGTATCGGTTGTTAGACTTGATTGTTCTTGATTGTATGTGCCATGTCTGTAGTTAGCTTTGTTACGTTGTTGATAGCATTGTATGTATTTCTGATCCATCTTTTTTTTTTTAAAATAGAGGATATTATATGTTATATGTATATGTTAAAAAATATTTGTTAATCGGTTTGTCTAAAAAAAAGGTTGCTACGTTGTGTCTTGTGTGTTATTGTTACGTCAATTGTATTTACATTCAGTCAGTTAAAAAGAGAAAGACGTGAATTTTGTATGTGATCTGAGAATGATCTCAACATGTCTAATAAAGTATTAGTGTACAATTAATAAGAATAATGTAACACTGACAGTTATCAGTTGTAAAGTTCAATTACTTTATTTACGTATATAAGCGGCGACTATTTTACAACTGTGCTATGCAGATTAAAACTATGATTTTATAAATATTTAAAATATTATCAAAATTGAAAAAGATTGAAAAAAGCCATTGTTAATTTACAAAAAATATAATTAAAACACTTTCGAACTTTCAACTGGGTACAAAAAAACAATAACGAAGTTCATCTGTTTCTTTTACATCGTTATATAAATCAGATTGTGCGGTCACGTTTATGCCCAATCTTTTATAACGTGATTCAGGTACATATCAGTGCTATGTGGACTCAGGGGAGATGCTCTTCTCAATGTATTTTCAAGAAGATTATGTGTCAATGTTTAGGAAGAAATGTTTGCAGAATTATTTAGGGCACACTGGTGCCTACATTTTATAAACATGAAAATAAACCACCATAACAGATTGTGCGACCTTTGTTTGATTATTTTAAACAATGTTTTTGCTTTAAATGTCTCTTGAAGCTATGTTAAAATGATGTCAAGTTATTTATTAAAATTAATTTAGCAACATAAACACGTCTCTGCCAAACATTTAATAGCATATATATATATATATATATATATATATATATATATATATATATATATATATATATATATATATATATATATATATAATCTCAGGGGACTGAAATAATTCTCCGTGTTAAAATAATTTCGTTTTACACTATTCCTAACATACATTCTTACAATACACTCACATCAGATACGCTATGTACATATCAAATTAGTACACATTTTCTATAGACGTGTGTTTGCAAGTATGTAGATATAAACAACGAGCCAACCCGCTGCGTATCATACGCCGCTATTTAGTTGTTTTTTCTACTTTTCAGTAATTCATAATTTGTGAATTCGACAGTACCAATGCTGCCACTGAAAATATTTGCTTTAAAACACTAAACCCCCATTTCCCCCACCCTCCCTCCCCCCGTGAAAGCAGCCTCCTCTTAGTTACCTCCTCTAAGTTTAAAATAGTTTCAAACTGAATTATCTGCCCCTAATAGCCGTCACCAAACTAAACATTTAGCGTGAACTACAACTCACCTGACCATGTGAGGGGGAGGGGGGTGGGGGTGGGGGGTGTAGCGATAGAGAGGAAGAGAGGGGACTGCAAGGCGCGCGCTTGCAGCTTGTTTTCTAACGGCTCCCAGAAGAGAATTATATATATAGATACTATGAATTAAAACAGAAAAACAATCTAGAAATTTGATAGTTATAATTGCCAGTTCTCTTACGTTTTCTCTCTAGCTTGAACACACGCACACACGCACACGCGTACGCACGCACACACACACAACACAGAGATATACACACACCTATATATGTTTTTATTGATATTTATATTTTTATATTTATAACCATACATGTATACACACGTATCTAAGAATTCATGGTCTTAATGGTAATATTTATTACATATACATAGACTGAAACACACACAAACACACATTTATAACGTGATATTAATAAACTCAACGAGCAATAAAATCCCAGAAATAAATTGAACACAATGTGCAGCAATGTCCAGTGCGTAATAAACGCCAACCTTCTCAAGTACCATGGTCTTTTCTGAAATCCTGATCGGACTGCACCCAAACCAGAAACTCACTGGAATACAATTAGTCATTTCGAATGTTATGGTGATATTTTAATGGTATTTTGGTAGCTTTAGTGGTATTTTGGTGGTATTTTTATGCCATATAATTTTACAAATTATTGTCATAGTCCACTTCACCATTATATTACATATCGTTTCTAGAAACCATCATTTATAAAAAAGAAGATATGAAAAATGTGTAAAAAGCGTTATAATGATACGCTTTAATGTAATAATACACTAAAAAAGGAGAAAATAAATAATTGTCTTTAAATATATTGTAATGAACTAGTACTTGAATTTTTAAAAACACGCTTTCATGTAATACATGAACTAAAAAGGAGAAAAAAAATATTTAAAAAAAAAGTATAATAATGAGCTAAAGTAAAAGTTTCCCTTTCAAACCTGACGGTCTATGACGTGTTTACGTGTGTGCGTGTGTTCAAGCTAGAGAGAAAACGTAAGAGAACAAACTGGCAAATATAACTATCAAATTTCTAGATTGTTTTTCTGTTTTAATTCATAGTATTGTTTATATCTACATACTTAAAAAGAGATAGTGTGGTCAGCACTACGCCCAGCTGCCTTTACTTTCCCTAACGTGAGTTAGGTACCCATCAGAGTTGGGTGGACTCAGGGACGGTCTACTGACTTGATCCGGATTCGAACTCGAGACTAACGGGTTAGCAGTCCAGCTCTCAGTTTAGCTCTCTACCGCTAGACCACACCATCCCACATAATATTGAACTACTAGTTCTCTAACTAAAGTGAAACGTGTTGGTCGCTATAGCAAGTATTGAATACCATTAATGGAATTTAAGAAGTACGCCACGTTTTTATATTTAGTTCTATAAATAATTGTGCATTATTATATATTTATTTTCTCCTTTTTTAAGCTTTTATTTAACTTGCTTCCTCTGTCTTGTTGCCAGACAGCCGTCATAGATCGAAATAGATCGAGCGAAATATGGAGCCCTTCTAAATCTTCAACGATTGAACGTGGGAAAAGATAAGTCCCATAATATAGGCCTACTCCGTATATGATGAAGTACTGAGGTATAAAACGGTGAAAACTGTCAAAATTTCTTGTGCTTTTGTGCACGATTACAATACTTCCTCTATACACTTTCCATGAGAAATAAAATATTTCATAAAAAACGTTTTTATTAACAAGCTTTTATGTAATAATGCACTAAAAAGGAGAAAATAAATGATTTCCATTAAATATATAATAACGGTGATAGGATAAATGATCTTAGGATAAATGATCTCAGACAAAATATCCCAGCCAAAATATTCCACCGACAAATGATCTCTGTACAAATGATCTCAGTACAAATGATTTCACGGACAAAAGATAAATGGACAAAATTTATAAGAACAAATGATTTCATAGATAAATGATCTCAAACAAAATATCCCGGACAAAATATCTCACATTAAAATATTTATAGATTTAGGATTTTTTTAGTCGATTTTAACTTTTTTTTCTTTGAAAGCTTGGGTCTCTTCCTTATAGTTATTTAAATAGTAGTGTATTATTATATATTTAAAGAAAATAATATTTTTCTCTTTTTTAGTGTATTGTTACATAAAAGCTTGTTATTAAAACGTTTTTAATGCACTTTTGATCTGAGAATTATTTATGCATTTTTTCAGTTCTTTAAAATGTTATATAATAAAGTTGCATGGCTAAAACAAATTGCGTACAAAATGAACACCAAAAATGTGCTCAGTAAACAATACTTTATATAGGAAATTAAGTCAAATTTGATGTTAGATTGCAATCTAATCGGGTCTTAACCCACGTGTCAAGTTTCAGAGAGTTCGGTCGGTTTGATGTGGATGAAATTTCGGTCGCCAGTTTCGATCTATACAAAAAAAGACAAAAGCAATCACAAGAAAGCAAGTTAAATAAAAGCTTGTAAAAATTACGCTTCTAAATTTATTTTACGAACATAGACTGCTGACTCTATTAGAGCTGGTAAAAAAAGGATCAATCATTATGAGAGCTTTTAAACCTTGTGATCTCCACTAAAGATGTTTTTTTAAGATGGCTGCCGTTGCCATGGCAATCATATGTTAAAAAGAGTCCCTGATGCATAATATATTTTCGAAATTTAAAATAAAAGGCATATTAATTAAGAAGTGTTTTTTCCGGAGCCTAATCGCTTCAAAGATACAATGATCCCGTCAAGCGGGAGAATCTTAAATGAATTTAAAAAGACAAAATTATCAACTCTAGTCGAAAAAATGTTGTATGTAGATATGAAAAGAAAAATAAACAGAAGTTAACTTATTCTTAATCTTCGTTCTTAATTTTTAGTGTTGGAAGGGATTGAGCCTTATCTGCCAGAGGGTTGAACTCGAGACTTTTTCGAATTTATCAACCATGAGCGTTTGCCGACTTGACCACGCCTCCATCACAATTAAGGATACGTGTCAACTTGTTATGCGCCATTGAGGCCATTGACTCCGATTTCAGCCTGCTTTTCTTATTGGATCTGCTTCCATAGCCTAGCCTTTGTTCAACCAAGAACAAACTACAAGACAGCAGTTGTTTGATTTTGGAGTTGTCTCTCCTAGAAGAGTGGCTGTCCCCAGCTAACGAGCCTCATCTGCCCGAGGGTTCGAAGTTAACAAAATACAACAATTACACAGATAAATCTTACATGTGAAAATAGAGACCCAAAATGTGATCACAGCGCTGCAAGAGCTGCCTCTAAACTTATGGGTGAAGATGTTCAGGCTTACAACTACATAGGCGATGCTGTTGCTCAGAAATATGAATACTTTCATGCCTTCGTAGGAGTCGTGACTGGAAGCTAATAAAAATGTGGGGTTGAAAAAAAGCCATAAAAGTGCACTGATTTGCTCTACGGGAGAGTTGTAATTCGTGTGGTCTGCAGACGGTTTTGGTATGGCATACTGATCTCTGGGAACTAGGAGTACTGACCTTGAAAGACATCATGTGCTGTCCGCTGAAGACATGTTGTAATAACCCTTACAGAATTGATGTACAGACCGCACAGACATGATGTACTAACCCTTACATACATGATGTACTAACCCTTACAGACATGATGTAATAACCCTTACAGGCATGATGTAATGACCCTTACAGGCATGATGTGATAAACCTTACATGCATGATATAATGACCCTTACAGACATGATGTAATGACCCTTACCGGCTCTACAGGTATGATGTACTGACCCTTTCAGACATGACGCACAGTCCTATAGAGACATGCTTTACTGACACGTAAGACATGATGTACTGACGCTAAAAGACATGAAATACTGACCCATAAAGACATCTTGTTCTGACCCTTACAGACATTATGTACTGAGCCCTAAAGGCGTGATGTACTGACCCCTAAAGATATGATGAACTGAATAAAAAAGTAAAATACGGACTAATACAGAACTAATTTACTGATCCATTAAAACGAGATTAACCTACATTCAAGCTTTTATTTACTTTTATTTACTTAAATTTGTGACTGGGCGTTCCTTCCCATGAAGACGTAAATGCTGAACATTAAATTTAGATTTTATGACTGCTAGTAACCTATAACACTTATATCCAACACATTTACGTACTTACTTTCTATAACGTTGAATGGTCTACTGTAGAGGTTATAGAATACTATATCCGTTACGAAGTGGTATCCGCTGTGCACAAGTAAAACATAATTTATGATTAGTGGCTCCAAATTATGGTACTTCACTGATGAAAGTAAAAAAAAAAGGTTTCTAACCTGGCGTTTTATAGTGAAGATAAAAAATAATTCATAGGGAGAATTTTTACCTCGGGATAGGAAGTTTTTTTTGCGGTCAGCACTATGGCCTTAACGCCAGTAAGATCTATAACAGAGCTGTGTACACTCAAGGGTGTCCTGCAGATTCTGAGCTACGAACTTGAGACTTCCGGGTTAAATGTCAAGCGCTCTACCACGCGACCACGCCGTCTCACAATGATTAGGGAATTCGTAAAATACTATCACTCAAGCGGTTTAGTATCTTTACCTTTACTAGTTCTAATAACAGTGAATTAGTGTAGTTTTTAGAAAGTAATTTGAAGTTGTTGTTAATAAGAAAACATTGACATATTTGTGTATTAGTGTGAGTTTGTGAGTGTGTGAGTTTGTGTGTGTGTGTGGTGTGCGTACGTGTGATGTTTTAAAAATTTAGTTTTTTTTTCCAACAAGTTAGTAAAAATGCGGCAACTTACGTTATGATACTAGATGCAACAAAAATGGCGAAGATGATTTTGCCAAACCTAGAAGGGTTTTTGTAGTACTTAACAGTTTTTAAGTCAACTTTTCCACTGATGGTAACACGTGACGTCAATGTTCGGTCTGGGTGTTGTTTCTGGTTCTAGAACAATGGAGACTTTTTTAGACAAAAACCTTTCTACTGCAAACTACTGGTTTATTGCAATCAAAAATTATATTACGTTTCTCAAATACAAAAGTACTTATATTTGGCAAATAGTGGAGTATTTTTTAATAAGATCAGTCCACGAATAGCCCCATTTTTATGAGTCAGCTAGTAGGCGACCTATTTCTGTCAATTAGGTGACTAGCTATATCGATCAATAAGTAAAGGAACTATATAGGTCAATTAGTAAACAACTAATATCAGTCACCTAGTAATTAATTAATAGACTAATTTACCCACTATCCGTAAACAAATATACTTACATCAGTCATTTTTTGGCAACACTAGTGTGTATAGTAACAGTTAAGCACACAGATATTTCTGTCGTGTTACAATCAAATTCTGTTTCGAACAAACTCTCTGATTCGCTCTATTCACAAATCCCAAATCCAACACTGTACAACTCCCACACTGCATAAGTCCCACACTGCGTACATTCCACATTGCAAAAACCCCATAGTGTATACATTTTACACTACAAATCGCACATATGCTCGGCAAGCCTTAGACCTGAACACCTCGGCTAAATATAGTAACACGTAAGCAAAACAGCCTCCTTCCTGGTCTAGATCACCTTGACTATAGCCTAGTTGGAGAAACCTTGCCGTTTACATGAAGGTCGTTTGCCCGACGGCTGTTTTTCCAAATAGACATTTGCCTGAATGGGCCAACTGCCCAAATGGACACTTGCCCACCCGATTAAGACAAATGCCCGAAAAGACACTTGCCCGCCCGATTAAGACAAATGCCCAAATGGACACTTGCCCGCCCGATTAAGACAAATGCCCAAATGGACACTTCCACGATTGGGACAAATGCCCGGATGCCACTTGCCCGACGGTTGTTTGCCCGTAAAAAATGTTAATGTCGATTACCAAGTAGATATTCTAAATCAATTTGCATTAAACATTATAATCAATCTAAGCATAATTCTTACACACTTCTTAACAGAAAATTTCTCAACACGAGTTTGTTTATGTGCAAAAAATATATTTAGAATTTAGCTTATGTTTTATAAAATAGAATAATTTTTTTTCGAAAAAAAAAAACTACCTTTATTTAAAAAAAAACTACACATGTAACTGTGATGATGGTGGTGGAGTCTTTACATTCTTTTGATGATAACTTGAGTACTTTGTTTAGCGGTGGTTGTTTAGGTGGGTGTACCATAGTCATGACGCGGTGTAAGCGGCTCGGCGTCTCGCAACATTGAACAAAGGTATGTAGACGTAGCTTGTTAAGGCTGTGTTGTGTGGTGATTGTTTCATAAAAGAATGAGGCACAGTCATGTAGGCGAATTTAAAACACTAGATGTACTCGCTGGTGCTTGAAATCTATTCAACGTACTATATGTTTAAACGAATACGTAATAAAGAAATAGAGTTTTGTTTTAAAAAAAATCTGAGATAAATGGCATTTCTTTTTGTTTCATAGAGTGAAAACAAAATGCCTTTACACTTTTTTTAATGCAATATTTTAAGTTTATCTTTAAACATTTCAAAGGATTGCAACGTAAGTTTAAAGACAATCAGTACTAGACCTCCTTGATAGATCGTGCAACCAAATACCGTACGTCCGTCCGTCCGTTTGCTCGATCGTTCGTTCGTTCATTCGTTTTTTCGTTCGTTCGTTCATTTACTTATGTTTTATTTCTTTATTTATATACAGTGACAGGACAACTGACTTCAGAACTATTATTCTCAGGACAAAATATCCCAGATAAAATATGCGAAGGACAAAATATTTCAGGTTATATAATATCGAGGGTAAAATACATCAGACAAAAATTTAAAACAAAACACACAACAGTCGTTTTTCAATTTGCTGATTTTAAGTACAGGTATTGAATCACAGAAGGTGAAATAACAAATCGTTGGAAACGCCGCATGACACTACAACACACATCGAACAAAACCATACACAACACGAACCAAATACCCCACACTGTAGCCGCCCCCACACTACGTGTCACACCACAACATAACACAGACAAGACAATATCCTACACATTCAAAAATGCACGCTACAAGACAAGACAATATCCCACACCTTTGAAAATACGACCTAATACTATATATCATAATATATCATAATATCTTACACACCCACACACCTCACAAAACTACAGCCACCTTCCACATTTGAATCCACACCATAGACAAAAATCTCCTCCCAAATAACAAAAATAAAACCAACATATCACACAAAGCAAGCAGTCCTTAGAAATATGGAGTAGACTGCAACGATTTGAAGAGGTTACAGTAGAATAATAGTAAAATGTAGAATAATAGAGTAGAATGTAAAGAGAATAAAAGAGTACAGTTGCAGTTTGACTATTGAATCAAATAGTAACTCTCCTGAACATATATATATATATATATATATATATATATATATATATATATATATATATATATATATATATATATATATTGTTACGACCGCCTTCTCTAATCCTTTCGAACTAGTCAGGGAATCGTAAACAAGAAGAATAAAAATAAAAATAAATAAACGCCAACTTCAGTGATCTCTATTTATTTCCACAAATTACACACTTAAAGTTAACCCGCCACCACATGGAACACAATAAGAAAAATACACAACTAGCTACAACAACTAAAGTCCTTAATTCGACTAATCTACTTGTCCCTAACTGTCAAGCCTAGCCTAAGTCTAATACATGTCGTGGCTTTCCACTAGCTCACAGAGACGACCCATGTCTGTCTCCTCTAACCCTAGCTATCCGAGACGAGTCCGTCCGTCTCCGAGTGTCTGTCCGAGTGTGTGTATCCCGAGAGTCTCCCTAGTCTCCTGTCTACCCTCCTAAAGTACTCGTCCCCCGTTCTACACCGTGGGAACGATTTTAATTAAGCCCTGACCCTAGGTCATATCCGTCCATGACGGTCCCCTCGGTCCCGTCCGATCTGGAAGGTTTTCCCAGCCGTAAACCACGGACCGTCACTAACCTAGGTCAAGCATCAACGGTCAGCCCGTGGTGTCGCCAGGTAATTTATGGGCTGTTGGCCACGTTACTACCCGAGTCCCGAAGACTCCAATTCTGCCACGCCCACCGCGTGGAATCTAATCCGTGGTGGCCATCAAAACCCCCAGACTCTCACGGCCTAAGCTGGCCAGTGCATTAACATGCCTAAGCATTTCATTTTAATTACCTGGCCCTCCTCGATGGGGCCAAACACAGGTAAAGATCAAATGGGGTCGTAACAATATATATATATATATACATCCTTTGGGATCGTAACAATATATATATATATATATATATATATATATATATATATATATATATATATATATATATATATATATATATATATATATATATATATGTAAGTTGTGAAAAGAATATGAAGTCACTTTTCATGTGATATCTATCATATCAGCAATCATCAACAACCCTGCGATGAACTGAAGATAATGTGTAGCGAACCCTAGTCCGTAAGCTGCCTTCAGTCTGCTTTGTTTCAGTACTCAGAAAGTTGACCGATATCAGCCAGTACGTGGCTAAAATAAAAATTATAATAATATTTTAGAGGCATTTTAGTAGTATTTAAATGGTATTTTAGTTGTATTTTAGTAGTATTTAAATTAAGTTTATTTAAGTTGCATTTTATCTCGTATACAATACAACTTATGTTAGCTCACATGTCTTATTGTAAAATTTTATTATGAAGATATACAACTAAGTTCATACAGTTTATGAAGAAACACACAAAACTTATCCGTATAAATCTTAAACGTCTAAAACGTAAATCTTACATGTAATAACACCGACCCACGCAGCAATCACGGCGGTAAGTTTGCTTCTTTTAAATCTGTTGTTGAAGATGTGGAGCGACATCATCGTTAAGGCAATGTTGTTGCCCAGAAAAGGGATTAAAGCTAGACACCACAGATTTAAAAAGATTCAGGATGTATAATAAATCCATATTATAATAACATATAAATGTAGACAAAATTGGTAATGCGTCAACATTAGCACTTATGGTTGCTATAAAAACCACAAAAGGTGTGATAATTAACACATTTTTAAACTTCTATAACTCATATTGGATACATAAAATCAAAATATATATTTATGTTTGTCATTTCAAAATATACATTTCTACTTTTGTTTTCAAATTTTGATAGCGAGGATGGCTTTTTCTAATACAAATTTTTCTGTAAACGCATGTACAAAAATAAAGCGGGAGAGATCTCCACTAAATTTTCTCGAATATTCTTATATAACTTTACGGTGATGATATACAGACATTATTTTTAATTAATTTTTAATTTCTTAAACTTTTAAAAATAGAATCTCGTAGTGCGCACCAAATGAACAGTAAACAAAGTGTATAATAGTGCGGAACATTAGTACTTTATAAATTCATATGCGGAAATTACTCAAAATTTGACAGAAAACAGAGAATTACATCTTTTACTAAAATGTGAAATTCCGTCTATCTATCTGAAACAGTACTCAAGTTATAGGCTTTTGAAAACAAGAGTAGAATAAGTTCCACTTCCGGTTACCGGAAATCGCTGAATTGTTGATACAGAACTACAAATTTGATATAATACTTATATATTTAATTTCCTCAACCTAGCTGTAACTGTACTCAAGTTATCGTGTTCATAGACACACAGACATAGACACACACGCACACGCACACAGACACACACACAGACAAGATTTTGTTTTTTGCATGATTACAACACTTCCTCTATACTCCGTATACGAGAAAGTAATAAGGGGCTTGTGCTACAAAAAACCGTTAATATTTCCTAAATTAATGTAATAACCTGATTGCACAAACGTATTATTGTAGATAGTATATAGCGTTATTGCATATGAAAAGTTTCATTCTTATATGGCAATGGGTTCTAAAACCTCAGTGGCTGGAATTTTGATTTTTGCGTAAAAATTCGATGTTAAGGAAACATGAAAGAAGGGTTCCTCGTTTAAAAAACAGTAAAAGACGTCTTGTTCATTTTGGAAGAGAATTTTGACTAAAAAAATACCTGTTTATTTTCGTTGTAAGTTTTAGGCAGGTTTTTCTATGTAAGCAGAAATTATGTATACAACAGGTAATGCCATACTGACCATTATGTATTACATACATATCCTTTTAATCGAGTGTTATTCTAAAAACAACTATTAACAACCAGATTAAATTCTGTTTCTTAGCCGCTCGCCTCCCACCGACACAATGTCTTCAGTTGTAGCTTACTCAAGTGCTTTTACTTTCCCTAACTTAAGTCAGGTACCCATCAGATTAAGGTTGATCTGGGGACGTGCTACAACTCTAACCAGGGACTTGAACTCGAGACTTCCGGGTTAAAAGGTGAACTGTTTACCATTCGACCAGGCGGTTCCTAATTCAAATTAAAGAGGGAATATTAAGCCCACCGAGAGCAATGATCTTTACATTGGGGTGTATGGCTTCTCTTTGTCTTGTGTAGTGATTACAAACAAAATGGTGTTCTGACCTTGGTTGGAGTAGATGTTTCCAAAGGGTTTAAGTTCTAACTTGATTGTAAAGCAGTACCAGCTGCGACAAAATTGTATATAATTTATTATTGCTGGTACAAATAAAGGTAAACTTAATTGATGAAAGTTTAAAAATAAACCGGGAGTGATCTCCCCTAAACTTTCTCGAATATTCTTATATAACTCGGAATATGGACATGATTTATAATTACTTAAACTTTTGAAATTAGAATAGAATCTCGTCGAAAAAAGAATTGCGCACCAAGCGAACGCCAAAACAAAATGTGCATAATAGTGCGCAATATTATTAGCACTTTTTAAATTGAATTGCGTTTTTTGAGAAATCGTAAATTAGCACTTCCGGTCAACGGAAATTACTCAAAATTTGTCAGAAGGTAGAGACTTAGATCTTTTACTTAAATGTGAAATTTCATTTATCTATCTGAAATAGTACTCAAGTTATAGGATTTTTTAAAATTTCAAAGTAGAAAAAGTACCACTTCCGTTTATCGGAAATCGCTCAAAAATTGATACGGATCTACGATTTTGATAAAATACTTATATATGAAATTTCATCAACCTAGCTGTAAAGGTACTCAAGTTATCCTGTTTACACACAGACAGACAGACAGACAGACACACACACAGACATGCGGACAAGATTGCAAAATTATGTTTTTCTGTATCGGTGAGGTGTAAAACGTCGAGATTTGTAAAAATCTCTTTTTTTTTTGCACGATTACAAGACTTTCTTTATACTTGGTATATACGAGAAAGTAAAAAGTAAAGTTCCCAGTTCGGACTTAGCGATCCATAGAGCAGGTGAAGCTCTTTACCTTTTTTTTAAGGAATAGTGTGGCTAGCACAAAGCCTATGTGTTTTTACTTTAACTGACGTGAGTCAGGTACCCATCAGAGCTGGATGGAATCGTGGACGACGTACAGACTTGAGTCTGAGAAACGAACACAAGACTTGTGTAAAATGTTGAGTGCTCTACAAACCGACCAATCAATATTAACTATATAATCATAATTATCACTTAATTATCGATTATATATCGCTTAAACTTCTTAAGATGTAATTGAATTAATAACGTACTTTTTAGAAGGTAATCAGTAGGTGCTAATTAGAAAAATACTTGACATACCAATGTGAGTTTGTGTGTAGTGCGTGTTCGTGCTTGTGATGTTTTAACAATTATTTCTCTCTAATAATTTATCAAAACTTTGAATACTCACTAAATAGTTTCAGATAACACTATGAAAAAAAAGTTGATTTTGGCAATCATAGAAGGGTTTTTACTCTTAGAGTTGACAAGTTCATTGATGATAACCACATCTTCGCCAGTTGTAGAGGTCATGTTTCTAATAAAGAAATGTGATTTCAGTTTTAGGTTTTAAAAGTCGTATTTAGTTTTACAGTAGTGGATAATACATTAGCAATATACGTCTACGTTCATCTGTCTACTAGATTATCTCTATGAAATATTAGATTACGCCTGTCAAGTATTAGGTTATTTATATGATAGCAGGGTGTTTTACTGAATTAATCAAGTAATGAATTATTTATAATATTGAAATAATTGATTACTTATATTAGTCAATTAGTAGAGTAGCCTACGTATATCAGGCTGCTAGTAGAATACATTACTCAATATTCGTCAACCATATTCCAATAGTTGACTGCTTATAGCAGTCAAAAAGTTGAATATAAATAGTAGACCGCTAGTAGAATACTTTACTCAAATAGTTGACTGCTCAACTAATTAGAGTACGTAAGTAGAATACTTTACTCACTATCCGTTAACAAAAATAGTGCCTACTTACATAAGTAACTTTGCGATTATATTAGTATGTAAACTAACAGTTTAACGCACGCATGTTTCTGCAGTTTAAATAGAAAAATCCGATTTGAAATAGTTCTCCGATTTACTACACTGCGTCTTGATATGTAAACAAAACAATTATCCAACACAGCACAAATCCAACACAGTACAAATCCTACTCTGCACCAATCATTAGCTGCAAGATTCGAAGAAACGCCATGTAAACCGGAATAACTGGGACAATAATAACACAGTTAAAAATAGTAACACGTAAACAAATCACAGTCCTTCCTGGTCTATTACAGTCACCTTGCCTAAGTTGAGAAGATCAAGATGTTGACCAATCATAAGGCCCCTTCTTTCCGTACAACTGATTGGACCAAGAAACAGGACGTTACCTGAACAACTAGGAATCAGCAGTGTCGCAAGAGCTGCCGAAAGGTAACCAGAGTTGATAATCATATCGAATAAGGGGGCTTCACCCCTGTTTTATTTTGAAGTTTTCTCTCCTAGATGGGTTACTATATATATATATATATATATATATATATATATATATATATATATATATATATATATATAAGTTAACATACTTAATATTAAAGATGTTTGTAGAATTCTCAGGTATTGACCCATTTCCCTCAAAATATTTCATTTTTAAAACAGAGACCTCAAAAGTACTTCATAAAAATGTCCTTAAAAATATTTAAAAAAAAAATTATATTCCCTGTTAGACTATGTGGTCTTCCACTTAAGATGTCCACAAATATTTTAGATTTTATAATTCTAATAGGCCTACTTCTATTTCTGCTTACTTCATCGCTTGCTTACTAAAAAAGGTATTTTATTTTTAACTTTCGTGGGGGGGGGGGTGTCCATTAATGTCATCACATTCCCGAGGGCGGGAGGAAGGTTCCAGAAAATGTGACAATATTGTTTGAAAATGAGGGTTCGAAGTGGTCGAGTCGGTAAAGCTCATGGCTGCTAAACCGAAAAGTCTCGAGTTCGAACCCTCGGGTAGATAAGGCTCGTTAGCTGGGGACAGCCACTCTTCTAGGAGAGACAACTCTAAAATTAAACAACTGCTGCCTTGTAGTTTGTTCTTGGTTGGACAAAGGCTATGGAAGCAAATCCAAAAAGAAAAGCAGGCTGAAATCGGAGTCAATGGCCTCAATGGCGCATAACCAGTTGACACGTAACGCTTAATTGTGTTGGAGGCGTGGTCGAGTCGGCAAAAAGCTCATGGTTGATAAATTCGAACAAAGTCTCGAGTTCAAACCCACTGGCAGATAAATCTCGATCCCCTTCAACACTAATAATTAAGAACGAAGAAGAAGAAGTTTGAAAATGAATTTATGCTGTTACTTCTGGTAGGTATATTTTTTTTTAACTTCAATAAAAAAAAAAGAAAGACCTTACTATATGTTAGTTAAGTTCATTAAGTATTTCAGAAATTTTTTTTAGTGTAGTTGTAGGCAGATGTTTATGTAATTTTAGATGTTGGGTCCTTGGTTTTTGTGACGAGGTTTGACGTTGGGGTGGGGGGGGGGGGTTGTTTGTAGTGTAGGAGGTAAAAATCTTATTAAATTATGACGTCGCTTATGACATAGATATAAAATACCGTATTTTATTTACACGTTGGAATGGTTTGTTATTTTAAAAACACGAGCACGTTCGTGTCAATTTCACCTTTTACATGCAGGCTACGCGTTACATGTTTGTTTTAAATTGTAAATTCAATGTGAACGTCCACCTCGTTTGTGTAGACGTAAAAATTGATTATCATATTGCCATATTTGATTAATTAAACGAGCGATATTGGGCCCATATTCGACTTTTAAAATGAATGTTATTGCTCTCCCCCAAAACAGTTGATATTCTGGTAAATTATCTTATGTACTGATATTTGGTACATTTTCAGGCATTCCCTGTAACAGGAAGTAGTATTTTAGGCCATTACCGATTTCTTAATAAAAGCTATGATAATTTGATTTTTCTATGACATACCTTTATTAGCAGCAAATGTATTTACACCTCTACGTATTATCTTGAAAAACAAACGGTTTGTTCACAAACTTCTGTATTTATACAGCCCGATTCCACTCAAAATGCCTTCTAAACCGTTACTGCAATATAAACATGTGCGATAAAGTGTTGGAGGTCTCACTTCCGCTTTACTGAACTTACTAGACTGTATGCCTACTGAATTGTTATGAATATATTTATATTTGTACTGAACACACACGAATCGATTTCAACGAGTCGTTTTGAAAAGGTACAGCCCCATAACAAACTTTATGCAAAGTGAGGGCTGAAGATCTGCAGAACCAATCGATGCCTCGGTTCAATTGCCCTATATGACACAAGGATCGAATCAGCCCGACAAGTCTTAGATATCCTGATACTACTCATAACAGAACTACAAGTGCAGCCATGCGCATAAGTGCACATGAATCCAGCCGGACCGGAGAGATAGATCTCCAGACTTCCCAGAAATATTGATCAGAATATGAAGCGTTTTTATAGCTCTCAAGTTATTCAATACTAATATGCCATGTCTGTAGGTAGCCTTGTATTAAGTACTTAATAGGAATTGTATTTATTTCTGATTCACCTTTTTTAATGAAGGAGGTTAATAATGTGTATATGTTAAATAAGAGTCGTTATAGAGGTTTGTCTTAAAAAGAAAAATAGGGGGATGCTACTTTATTGTTATTGTTACGTCGTTTATATATATATATATATATATATATATATATATATATATATATATATATAGTAATGTCCCTTGTGTTTTCGTTCAGTCAGAGAGACTTGTCAGAGATAATCAGAGACTGATCACAACATGTTTAATAAAGTGTTAGTGTAAACTATTGTAAGTAAACTTAATCTAAGTCATGTAACACTTAGGAAAGTAAACACAGGTAAAGAGCAAATACTTTATTTACATACATATCAGGCGGATACTTTACTACACTGTACAGATTAAAACTAAGATTTTAGAAACATTTAAAATATTGAGAGATTCAAAATAACGATTGTTAATATATACAAAAAAAAACGTAGTTAAACTTTCCAATTTTGCAGTCACTCTGGGACGATGATATTATATTTAGTAATATTTTCAAGAAGATAATGTATGGTCTATGTGTAAATATTTAGGAATGAATTTTTGCAGATTTATATATGGCATAATGATGCCTCAATTATATAAACATTAACAAAAATAGATTGTGACCTATCTTTGATTATTTTAAACTATTTTATTTTTACTTTTGATGCCTCTTGAACCTATAAAAGACGTCACGTAAAATTTGAAGGTGGGGTTAACTTTGGAGGAGTTTACTTCTCACCAGAGTTTCTTCCAGGCATCTCTTCGGGGGGGGGGGGGGGGGGGGGGGGGGGGCTTGGGCTAAGCCCCCCCCCCCCCCCGAAATCTTTTTACCGCCCCCCAACGAAATGAAATTTATATAATTTATATAGAAAATATATACTTTGAACAGTGTCCGCCCCCACCCCCCCCCCGAAGAAAGTCTACCGCCCCCCCCCCCCCCGAAAATTTCAAGTGCCCCCCCCCCCCCCCCAGAGAAAAAAGTCTGGAAGAAACACTGCTTCTCACATTGTTTACAACCGGCCGGTTCAATAATATGTCTTGATTAAAAATCTAGCAACATAAATACGTCTCAGCAAACTATGGCATAAAAATAATACATATGTAGATCAAGTGGAAATCGTCCAATTAAAAAACAAATCTAAGGATACTGAAATATTTCTCCGTGTTAAAATAATTTCGTTTTATATTATGCCTAAAAAGATTCTTCACACAAAATTATATTAGAATACATCACATCAGATACGCTATATACATATCAAATTAGTACAATTTTTATATAGGCAAAATCAGTACTATTAATGAAAATATTAATTCAATGTTTTTTTTTTTTAAATTCTGTTTTGGCAGTTCTTATACATTTTCTGTCTGTCTTGAACACACCACATACACACGCACGCATACTCATACGCACACACACTCATACACACAAACAAACACACGCAGTCACACCTACGCACGCACAAACTTGCACATTTATGTATTTATTTATATCCATATTTTTATATTTGTAACCATACATACGTACAGACATGTCTTGGCGCTCATATACATTGACTGAAACACACACACATAAACACACACACATGTATATATATACACACACACATATATATATATATATATATATATATATATATATATATATATATATATATATATATATATATATATATATATATATATTATTTAGAGAAAGATATAGGGATGGATCGGACACACGTTAAGAAGAGAAAAAGAAAACATCGCAAAGCATGCTATGGACTGGAATCCCCAGGGAAAAAGGAAAGTGGGCCGGCTAAAGAAAACATGGAAAAGAACGGTTAAAGAAGAGGCGAAAACAAATGGGCTCACATGGGCACAGATAAAGATGCAGCCTAAAACCGAGTCCGCTGGAAATGTGTGGTTGCAGCCTTTTGCTCCCCAGGGGCCACAAAGGAATGATGATATTTTTTGTATGAATTCATTGGTCACGTGATGTTAATCACCTCAAAGACCATCATGAACCCAGAGATGAATTGAACATAATGTGCAGCAACTTTAAGTGCATAATAAATGCCAGGTTTCTCAAGTTCCATGATCTGGTTTGCTTCATTACTCATCAGGTTCAACGCCGCCATCCAGAAACTGGCTAAAATACATTAATTTTGATTGCTATGGTTATAATTTATTGGTAGTTTATGCCATATAATTTACAAATCAATGTCATAGTCCACTTCAGCAATATATTTCATATATTTTCTAGGAACCATCATCTATCCCTAATTTATTGTAAAAGAAGATTAAAATATGCACAAAAAGCGTTTTGGTTACAAACTTGTATGTAATAATAGTAGTATATTAGGTCCCTTTTGGGTCGTATCTGCAGGCGCAGGCGCACCCAGGATGCGCAAAGGATATATAGTAAAATACTCGGATGCGCAGGGGGATGCGCAGGCGCCGCAGGAACAAAGAGATATAGTAAAATACTCGGGATGGGGATGCGCCGCAGGAACAACGAGATATAGTAAAATACTCCAGGCGCAGGCGCAGGCGCAGGGTGAAGGAGCCGCAGGCGCAAAGACATATAGTAAAATACTCCGGATGGGGATGCGGATTGGGATGGGGATGGGGATGCGGATGGGGATGGGGAGGATGCGCAGGGATGCGGATGGGGAGTAGGTCACTAGGTCAGTAGGTCACCGCCGGTG